GAAACAAGACTAACAAAAAAAGAAAGAGGCAGCCAATGAGTATAGGATTTTCTTTTGAGGTGATAAAAATGTTTTGAACTTAATAGAAGTAGTGGTTGCAAAACATTGTGAAGGTACTAAATGTCACTCAATTGTACAGTTTAAAATGGTTCCTTTTTACCCTGGCCGCTGTGGCTCAGTTGAGTATCATCCCATGCTTGATTCCCAGTCAGGGCATATGCCCAGGTTACGTGTTTGGAGGCAACCAATGGATGTTTCTCTTTTACACTGGTGTTTCTCTCTTCCCCCCTCCCTTCTTCTCTCTTTAAAATGAATAAAAACATATTTAAAAAAAAATAAAATGATTAATTCTGTGTTATGTGATTTTCACCTCAATAAAGAAAAAACCAGGAAATAGAGAGGTAATATGAGAGAAGAGGTCAAAAGTTGCTGGAAAGGGAGAATGGAATTGCTACTTTCCTTTAAATTATTTTGAATAAATAATCTCTATATAATCTCTAAACATTAAATCCTCTAAATAATCTCCTTTCAATTCTTTTTAACTGAATAGCCAATGATAATGGAAGGATAACAAACACTTCCTTTTGATTGAAATATCAACATACAATTAAGATTGATTGAAAGATCAACATATAATTAAGAAAAAATATCTGAAAAACGTCTTCAATAAGAAAATGCATAAAATAAAATAAAAGATGATCTCTTCAATCTGTAATACAGATGCTTATATGGATAAAAACTGATAATCTATAAGATACTGGATAATGTTTTTTTGAAAAATCACTGTATATCAGAAGAGTGAGCTCTAAGCATTTCCTTACAATAAACCTGGGAATCTTCTCACATCTAAAATCTTTCCAACAAAAAAGGAGGAAGTAAATTATTTCCTTCTAATTCAGACTAGGGGAAAATATTGTTACATGCATCTTTTTTCATTTTCAGCATTTCCCAACTGTACTCCATAAAACACTATTTAGAAAGATGCTATTTAATATACAAAAGAAAAGAGAAAAGGGGGAAAGAAGGAAGGGAAAGAGAAAGGGAAAGAAAGAAGAAAAAGAAAGCAGCATATTAGAATTTCACTCTTGGGAGATTTACGGTGCACGGCAGCAGTAAGAAAGCCAGCTCACCTCTATTATATCTGCATTTACCTGACTTATTAGGTACAGAACAGTTCTCAGGCTATGACTGTTAAACACATAAAGCATCAACTGGTTAAAGACTGCTTAGATTTATACCAGATAACACATAAATTAGATAACTTCAATATTAGCCTGAGGTATAACACTAACCTACACATCAAAGAATAATCAACCATCTGAGAAAAACATTGTTTCATATTACCAGCTAGTCAGAGCAAGAATTTAGTGGTGAGAAAGAAGGGGGAGAAAAGATGGTAGGTAAGAGGAAAGAAGAAAAACAACCTGGGAAGAGTTAGCTCTTCAATGTCCCTGTATGAGCTATCCTTTTTCTTCCCTGTCAATTCTGATTGCTTATTAAACAAAGCATTTGTGCCCAGTTGGCTGGAGCATCATCTGGGACACCGAAAGGTTGCGGCTTAGATTTCCGGTCAGGGCACACATCTAAGTTGCAGGTTTGATCGCGGTTGGGGCACGTGAGAGGCACCAATCAATGTTTCTCTCTCTCTCCCTCCCTCCCTCTGAAAATCAATAAAAACACATCCTCAGGTAAGGATTTAAAAAAAAAAAAGGAAAAAATACATATTTTTAAAATTTGCAATTAGGATAGTAAAAAAATTTCACCTGGTTTACTTTCCCCTCCTCTCCCTTTTTTTCCCTTAACATTAATTCCTGATCCTAGAAAGTAACTAATAAGGAGAAGTTAAATATTTGTCACAAAGGTACTTTGAGTATCTCAAGTATAAAATTCACATTGCTATAACAAATCATATCCCAAAACAGTTAAGTAATACTGGACAATTTAAGCCTGAAGGTATTCACAACTGGAGTTTCTTTTACTCAAGGCATTGGTATACAACAACAAAGTTCGAACTCTGTATATTTCCTGTTTGGGGAGAAAATAACAGGAAAAATATGGAATTAATTAAAAAAAGATATTTTTTAGACATTCCAACTCAGAGGGTAAGGGACAATCCAACCAGAAATAATTTCATTAACAGAAAAGGTTAAGAAAACCTTTATAAGAAAATAAAGACATTTTTTCACTGAGATGCTATTATCTTTGGACCAAATGGAAAATACTGATTATAACTACTGTCTCCAATATACTGTGAGCTAATCAAGAAAATCGAGGTAAATCCTAACAGACAAATTACTTAGGAACTATTTATTTTTATTTTAGCTCACAGAAAAAACTACATCTTCCTTCCCAGTCTTTGTTCATCCTTTCTCTCATAAAAAAAAGGGGAGGGGGCTAAGTAACTGAAGCCAACAAAGCCTTACTGACCATTTATCCCCCAAATTTAAAAAAGAAAAAACAAAAACAAGCACAGCAGAACTATTATATTCAGCTGATTCGTTATTTATATGCTAATACAATTACCATTACCCCAGGGTGATAAGATCATTCAGCTAAAGCAACCATTGGCTATATAACAAACCATACACAGAAAACATTTTTAGGAATAACAGATTTTAAAAAGTTAAAAGCTAGATAAAATAAACTAGATACATTAAAGCAGACAGCATAAACTTCAACTTTGGTTACTAATTACAAACTAAATGTGTGAATCTTAATTCAGAAGCATAAAAGCAGTGGTTATGAAGCCAAAAGAAGATAGATCAAAGTACTTCCCAGCACAGTATTTTCTTGGTGAAGTTATTACAATTTAAGGTCTGACAATCAAATGTACTGCTCCGGAAACTGACTTTATCAGTAACCTAAAAGATGATTGCTCAGCCTCAGTGACTAACTCAGTCAAAAGAGATTAATTCACATTCAGAAGAGAACAATGAAAAAATGAGCACACCAGATTAATTTCCCACAAAAATATCCTTCCAGGGATCACAAAACTTATCCTTACTCTTTCCCAGTATGAGTACTAATCTGACTTGGTTGAATCAGTGATTGGTTGAATACAGAATCACAGTAATATGAAGTAGACCATCTTATGAGATAGTTCGTCTAAGCCATAAAGAGGCCCAATAAACACTCCTGCACAACAGAGGAGAATACACCTCTGGTGACTGTACTGATCATTTCCCAGATTCCATCTTTCAATCAAAATTTACTTTGCTCATTCCTTTTTCTATCAACCATTGCACTTTCTGTTGATGTGTGTTACCACTGACTGAGCCATATCAAACTGTTACTCCCATGGAGCTTCAATATTAAGCATCCTTCCACTGTGTCTTGCCTATGAGAAGGGCAAATTCATTTCCCTCTTTTCAATTTCTTAAATAATACTTCTGAGAGCCTCATGTATACTACCTAAAATTGTAATAGAAAACACAAAGTAGTTTTGGGTTCTTGTGTAGTTTTTGTAGAAAATGAAATTTAATTCTGATATGAACACTGTAAAAATCCAACTGGACACAATTCAGTCTTGCAAAATGTAAGTTTACTTTAGTTCAACGCAAACTGCTAAAAATTAACAACTTACAGATAACTCACATAAGGGTATAGTTAAGCTTACATACTTAGGCAATTATTATAAAAAGAATTCTACATTGCATAATGCTTTAAAAGTGCTTTACCACTCATTGTAACATTTAATTCTCATAACCATCAAATATTTAAATTGAAAATCTTCAAGAAAAAATCATCGAAAAATTTAACCTTTAGAAGCCATTCTAGCCCTGCTGGGCGTGGCTCAGTGGTTGAGCATCGACCTAGGATCCAGGAGATCGGGGATCGATTCCCAGTCAAGGCACATGCCCGGGTTGAAGGCTAGGCAGCCAATCAATGACTCTCTCATCATTGATGTTTCTCTCTCTCTCTCCCCCCCCCTCCTTTCCTCTGTCTGAAATAAATAAAGATGTTTTTAAAAATAAAAAAAATTTTAAAAATAAAAATTAAAAATAAAAGCCATTATAGTTCCTACTAATATTTTACAATTAATTTATTCATAACAGATTTTTGCTCTGAAATCAGAAAATATATTAAGACTATTTACACAGCAGACACTAATTCCTTCTCTCATAAAATGCATCATGTACTGTTAGGTCATATATATTAAAAATTATTTAATGGGCCTTTTCATTGGTCCTTGTTCTGAACTGAATGATAATTACACTAAGAAAATTAAGCAAAATTATAAAATGGACAAAGTTAGTCTTTTATGCCCAGCAACTTCTTTCTATATCTCTTGTACCAAATACTTCTTTAGGTGCTTGGTACACATTCGACCCATTATAAACTGCTCTATGTAAAAATACATTATATTGGTTATATATACCTTAGGATAAATACATTTACATGAATAAATGCACTCAAGGATTTTAAGCCTAATCCCCAATTGTAATATAAAAAACAATAAATAAAAAATAAAAATCACAGCCCGGCTGGGCATGGCTCAGCGGTTGAACGTCGACCTAGGATCCAGGCGATCGGGTTCGATTCCCGGTCAGGGCACATGCCCGGGTTGCAGGCTCGATCAATGACTCTCTCACCATTGATGTTTCTCTCTCTCTCTCTCTCTCTCCCTCTTCTTTCCTCTCTCTGAAATCAATAAAGATATATTTTAAAAAATAATAATAATTAAAAAAATAAAAATAAAAATCACAGTGTAACAAAATCCAGGCGTTAACCCACTGAGGGGCACTTTGCAGAGTCCATGAAAGCAATTCACATAAACCTGATTATGTAAAAAGTTCATTCTTATCAAATGGGTTGTATCCTATTGAGGACATTAGGTACACTAAGGGGGGGAGAGGGGGAAGGCAGTTATAGAGCACCAACATAATAAAAATCAAGTTTACATGACAAAGTACAACTTTTTCAGTGGTTTAGAAATCTTTTCTAAATGAAAATACAACATAATATATCAATATTCAAAATAGAAAATTAAGAGTTCTTACCTTACTACATCATCAATATTGTTCCTGTATACACCTTCAAGTCTTTCTGCAGGAAACCCCATAGCAATAATGTTTGGATAAATATCTGAGTACTTAAGTTAAGAAAATATCTGAAATATGCAACAATGCAAACTACATGTACAAGTTTTAAAACATTCACTGATTATTTTTAAAAGGCTTTCCCCACTACAGCTATGCTAATAAAAATCGTCAAATTTATTTATCTATAAACCATCATGTATAATTAAGAAATACAGGTAAATACACTAATTCTTTAAAGAAATCCTCAAAATGATTTGGCAAAATAACTTTCAAATCCCTCTACTTAGTACATTAAAAATGCACCTAAGGTAAAAGGTAACTTCCATATTTACAGTATTTAAGTATATATGAAAAACGAAAACCTCAGACTTTTTTGGGACAAAAACCAAAAATCCAATTAAAAACAACAGAAAAACTACACAACCTCCAATTTTCCTGGTTATAAAAGACAAAACAGTATGGAGAAAAGTAGATACAATTAAGAATAAAAACGTCAGATTTAAGAGCTACTTCTAACCAGTTGTATAATTTGGACAAGTCGCTTAACCTTTCAGACTTCAATTTCCTATTCCACATGATTACATTAGACAACCATTAAGATCTCCTCACCCTTAGTGTTTATGACTTGATAATACTAAACTGGGGTAGAAACTTATTCTCATTTCCTGTCAAGGTAATCTATATTTAGCATGCCCATTCTATTCCCTTGTTATACACAACAGCTGGCATAAAAACAAACTTCTACACTTAAGAATTTATATCAAACTAACTATAAAAAAACCACCAACAATCTACATTTCTTTCCAGCTCTCATTTCTTCTTGAGCTCCATCAATCCTCTCTAATCCCAGGATTTTCTGACTGGAATCTTTCAGATAAGCCAAACTAATCTGCCTAAAGCCTCCCTTCAAGACCATCTCTAAAGTTCTCCGCCCACCTACTTCTGGACCCATTCATCTTCCAAATACAATTCAAAAGTCAACAAATTCAGTGTCCTTTTCTAGATCTTTTTCTTTACTTTCTGCTATACTCACATTATTGAGCTGGTTTCACTGTTATTTTCAAACCAAAAACAATTATCAAATTACTGAAAGCTTTCATTTTGATAATTTAAGAAAAGGTTATATGTTCTATTCATATGACTACTATGCACTGATAGGACAGATTTACAGACTATTTTAAGGGAAAAAAATGTGAACAGCAGTGTATACACTATGCTATCTTTTGGATAAAAAATAGTATTTTATAAAAGAAATAACATTTTCTTCTTGTATAAAAGAAATAATATTTACTTATATATTTAAAAAGACTTAAAGAGTCTAACAGTCACGTTCACAGGTACAATGATGTTATGGATACTGTTTTAACAAACCAGCCATAAAGGACATTTTTGAGACAACTAGATAAATTTTAATATAATCTGAGTACTGGATGAGTTGAAAATTTACTAAAATGAATAAGTAGACATTAATGAATGAGAAAAACGCTACAAAAGAGAATGTACAGTGTGATACCATCCTGGTAATACATATTTATATATATATATATTCCATCCAGATCGTCTTATGTAGACAAAAAGATGACAAACTAAGGAACTAAAAGTAATAATCTCTATGTGGTGGGAAAATATATTTTTTCTCATTTTTGCTTGTTTTGTGTTTTCTGTGTTTGGCACAATGTACCTGCACTGTTTCTATAATGGATTTTTAAAATTATGTTTGTTTTATAATTATCTATAAGTCTATTTACTAAGTGTCATGAGAAAATATTGTCTTGCCCTATATGACTAGGAACCACCTGTATATAGTTTTAAAAATGCTAAATTTCTACTCCCAGAAATTATAATAACAACAGTTATCTAAGACTTAAAACAGCATTTACTATGTGCCAGGAACAATTCTTGTCACATTAAGATACATAAATTCACCCCAAATCTCAAAGTGTTCTTCTACTACAAAGATTCCAAAAGAAAACAATTAGGATGATCATTTTTAACGTCACAAATATTAGCTATCATCTATTATTCTCAGATAAGAAAATAGACGCACCTAAAAAATAGCTCTTGGTCAATTATTGAAATGTTTTAGGGTATTATGTCCATTCATGACAAAAAGGGGAGCGGCAGAAAAACAATACAAGCTTATAGCAGTACAATTGCTGAAAATGAGTAATTTTTTCTTTTTAACTGTCTTGGAGCACAAACATAAAAAAATGTGGGGCTTTTTAAAATACCTTTTTTATTATTGATTTTTAGAGAGAAAGAGGAAGGGGGAGTAGAGAAACATCGATTTGTTGTTCCACTTAATTATGCATTCATTGGCTGATTCTTATATGTGCCCTGACAAGGGATCAATTGAGCTACTTGGCCAGGGCAAGAAAATTTTATATTAACAGAAGAAAATGAGGCAGCGACAGGGAACCCAAAGCAGTGGCAGCAATCATCAATCTGGAATTTCTATCTAAAAAATTATGAATACAACAGTTTACAATAGCTAAGATCTGGAAACAGCCCAAGTGCCCATCAATAGATGAGTGGATAAGTGGATGAGTAGATGAGATCAGTGGATGAGTAGATGTGGGACATTTACACCATGGAATACTACATAGCTGTAAAGAAGAAGAATCTCGTACCCTTTGGGACAGTATGGATGGACCTGGAGAATATTATGCTAAGTGGAATAAGCCAGGCATCGAAAGACAAACATCACATGATCTCGCTTATACGTGGAATCTAAAGAACTTAATAAACTGATGAACAGAATAGATTCAATGACATGGAAGCATAGATGAGATTGATAAATGTCAGAGGGATGGAGGAGGGTGGAGGGGGAGAGAGTAACCAAAGAATTTATATGCATATATGCACAACCCAAGGACACCGACAATGATGGGGAGAGGAACTGGGGAGGGGGATGGGACAGGGTGGAATGGGTCATTGGGGAGAAAAAGGGATATCTAATATTTTAAACAAAAATTTTTTAAAAAAAGCAAAAAAAAAATTATGAATACATTTTAGTCAAAAACACTCATTCAAATCACCCAAGTTTTCCTGAACAATACATGAGAACTATTATTTTATTAAATAACAATTATTACTACTAACAAACTGACCTAACCATTAAGTTCAGTGAGAATGCTAGCAAAATTTTAGCTTAACAGAAAAGGATAGAAGTATAAAACCCTTTAAATGCAGTCATTTTAAGCAGGATTAAACTCAAATTTATTCTTGTACTATGAATACTAATAAAGTAAGTTTGCAAAAAACTTGGTTAACCTAATAAAATGATTTTTTTTATAACTATACATAAATGGGAATGTTAAGTAGACATTAAAGTAAACTCAATTGGCCTCCTCCTTCATTCATTTAACCACTCAAACACATATGGAACATTCTATGGAAGGGGCACTAAGAATGTAGGGCTAAGTAAAGACTACTGCACTCAAGGAGTTATTTATTCTATCAGGGAAGACAGACACAGAGACCTACAACTGTGCCAAAGGCCCTATTATGTATATATCAAGATGTTTTAAGAGCTAGAGAAAGAGGAGTAATTCCGTAAGGGCAGAGATAAAGCTTCACAAAATAGGTAATGCGTTAGATAATCCTTAAGAAGTCAGACAGTAGACAGAAGAAACAAGAGCAAACACACTGTTCCAAGCAGAGTATAGAGCAGAGATATGGAAATATATAAAATATTCAAAAAAGCGAACAGTACAGTACAGCTCACACACAATGCTTTATGGAGAAGGCAGCAGGACTGGCAGAAGATTAGGTCCAGTTTTAAGGATGCCATGGCAGGGAGTTCAATTTAACCAGACAAATAAGGAGTCAAAGGCCAGGAGGAGCAACATGGGAGTCTCTTGCAGAGCAACATCCATTCCCCTGCAATCTCTTGCAGAGTGACTATCAAATCCTTCCTTTAAACAGAATCTAGAAATCCAGTCTTTTTAAAGTTTCATTTTCCTCAGATTCTCACCTTCCTTATTCATAGAGTTTAAGATTTTACCCAAAACTTTGGCATCCATCATAAGTTAGAACATGTGCCAGACAGAATGCCAAATAAATTCTTATTTAATCCTAACAATCTATGAATATTACCATTTCATAGATGACAAAATTGAGGGTCAAAATGATTTCATAAATGCCCAAGGCCCCAAAGCCAATAAGTAATAAGTTATGATTCAAACCCAGTATGTGCATAATTCCAAAGCCCAAACTTTTTATACCATGCTGCTTCACATAAGGAGATAATTTTTTCGTATTTCCAAGTCATTAATGAAAACATAAAATTGTCAAGAAAGCAGGCCCAAATGAAAGTGATTTACTAATCAAATATTTAAACTTAAAATCTTATTTAAAAGACAAAACAAAAATCTACTGGCATTTCCAAAATTGATGTCAGCAATTAATGAATGTTGAATTTTGAGGCAATATTTCTTATGCCAGCCATTATACCAATAAATAAAATCTCTAAGATAACTTTTGCTTACCTATACATTAAAATTTTTATAATGTTTTTAGACATTTTAAACCAAGTAAGAATGAGAAAGACACACACATGTATGTGATTTCTAATACAGAATAGGCTTATCCAGCACTTACTGGATATACTTCTAAGTAAGAAGTAGAGTGTTTAATATGAAATTTTCATCTAATGACTGAATCTTAAGAATGATGATTACTGAAAGTAAAGCAGTTCTGAAAACTTTCTTTGTAATACTCTCTATAAATATATGGTGTCCCCAAAAAATGTATACACTTTGAATAATTATAAAGGCAGTGTTTATTAAAATACATTTCATTATCAAAATGGAGCTATCAGCTGTTAAAGTGTGTATGCAATTTTTTGGGACACCCTGTATATAGATATGCTTATCCCTAAACAAGTTATAAACTAAAATGCAGTGCTAGTATACAAACCAGTAACTAACTGCTTTTTTCCCGGCCATAATTATTTTAAGGAAAATTATTTCCATAGATCATATAACAAGTTATTTTTAAAATTCTAGTTAACTGAAAGTTACAGTAACAACATACACTGAA